CTCTGGCAGGAGGGTTGGACTAGATGATCTCCAGAGGTCCCTTCCAACCCTAACAATTCTGTGAATTCTGTGAATTCTGTGGAGCTCCAGGAGCAGCCAGCCCAGTCCTGTGTCCCCAGGAGCTGCCTTTGCTGGGGTCATGGGAAGCACAGCGCTCGCGCTGGTGGCTTTCTTGGACACCAGAGCTCTGTGAACACCCATCAGCCTGGGTCCAGGAGGCCTTTTGGCTCGGGCTTAGGGCTGGCTGTTGTGTGCCTTGACCTGACCCTGGTGCCTTCACTCTGCTTCCCAGCGCTCCTGTGTGGTGTACCCCAATAGACTCCTCCTGAGCGATGGGGAGCTGTGGGTACTGCGCGCTGCTCGATCCCTGCGCAGCCCTCAGCAGTGGTGGTTCTCTCCTCCTCGCTGTGCAGGCTGGTGTATGACAGGGAGACAGGAAAGCCAAAGGGCTATGGCTTCTGTGAGTACCAAGACCAGGAGACGGCCCTTAGTGCCATGCGGAACCTGAATGGGAGAGAGTTCAGCGGGAGGGCCCTGCGCGTCGACAATGCGGCCAGCGAGAAGAACAAGGAGGAGCTGAAGAGTGAGTGTGAATTTTGTGGTGGTGAACACACTAACGTTGTGTTGGGCCCAGCCTTTTCAGCGTTACAAAGCATGCCTTTTCTGCAAGGCTGACAAGGTGGAGCCCTTGCAGACCTGACCTCCTCCAAGCAGTGTAGCAAGTAGTTTTGCAGACGGATGTGTGGGCTCAGCTCTGTATTTTCTCTCCCAAAAGATCTCCCTATTTTCACTGCCTCTCTATCCCCATAATGGCGCGGTGCTTCCCTTTTGATGAGCCCGTTAAAAACGGACGGTTCATATTGCCGTATGAGGTCATAAACTCTGTTGCAGGCTTGGGCACAGGTGCACCCATCATAGAGTCACCCTATGGGGACCCAGTCAATCCTGAAGATGCCCCCGAGTCCATCAGCCGGGCAGTAGCCAGCCTGCCGCCCGAGCAGATGTTTGAACTGATGAAGCAGATGAAGGTGAGCGAAGTGAAGGGCTGCACTCTCTGCATCAGCACAGCTTCTGCCGCTGCTGCCTGTGCCCTCGCAGCCCCTGTCGCTCCTTGCCAGACTCTGATCTGCGTGTGTCTTCTCAGTTGTGTGTCCAGAACAGCCCCCAGGAAGCCAGGAACATGCTGCTCCAGAACCCCCAGCTGGCTTATGCCCTACTGCAGGCCCAGGTGGTCATGAGGATCGTCGACCCGGAGATCGCGCTGGTTTGTCCCTTGCTGCCTCTTCAGGGGTTGGTAGGATATGGGTGGCAGCCTGTTGTGAAAGGGGAGTAGAAGAGAACTCCTCTCTCCTTCTTCTCCCCCTAGAAAATCCTGCATCGCCAGACCAGTGTTCCTCCTCTGATCCCAGGCAACCAGCAGCCAGTGCCAGGGCCGGGGCCTGGACCGGGACCGGGGCCGGGGCCAGGGCCAAATGCTCAGCTGAATCCGCAGAATACCCCTTCGTCCCAGCCGCAGCCCATAGTAAGAGCCTACGCGATGCGTGTGCTGCACAGGGGAGAGATGGCCATTGCCAGCTCCAGCTCTCCCAGCTGGGGTGGGCATGCCCGGGTGACGGGGCTTCCCTGAGGTCTGGTTTCTCTCCTGGGCAGGGTGGAATGCACGTAAACGGCGCTCCTCCGCTGATGCAGCCGCCCATGCAGGGAGGAGTGCCGGCCCCAGGACAAATGGCAGCCCCTGTGCAGGGCCCGGGCCCTGGCCCCATGGCTCCAGGAGGTGAGTGCGTGGGTTTTGGCTGAACGATGCCCTGGGCACATGGGTCCTGCAGACAGCCCCCCTCTACCTTCCCCCTAACTGGCGGGCTTGGCCCCGTGAGAGCACGCATCATCCCATACCATGTGTTGCGGTTGTGGCTGCTGCCAGCAGCGGTCCGGAAAGTTGGTTTATCTTTGTGGGGGACTAACGCCAAGAAAATAAACTTCCGGATGCTCCCCCAGGAGCTGGGAGTAGGAGGGTATTTGAGGCCAAAGGAATCGGTTAGTGGTGCAGGGATGGCTGAGGAGGAATCTGATCTCTGCCTGTTCCCTCTCAGGTGGGATGCAGCCACAGGTTGGGATGCCGGGCGGAGGGCCTGTCCCCTTGGAGCGTGGACAAGGTAAAAAAGACATGGGTTAGTGCTGTGTGTCGTGTGAGCCTGGCTCCAGCGGGCGCCCAGGCTGTGGGTGCTGAGCAGCGCTGTGCCAAGAGCCCCTGCCAGCTACCTGCAGCCTTGCCATCCCTGGATCCGGGGCAGCTCCTGCGGCGCTGGGCTGCACCCGGGTTTGTTCGCTTAGGCGCAAGGTTGTGGTAGCAGCTCTCCTGCTTCCAGGGCCCCAGCCCACACGCCAGTTTGCTCCCAGCTTGTTCTGCGCCGTGTTGTGCAGACGTTCCCTGGAAGTCAGGAGAGCTGCCAGTCCCCGCAGAGCCCCACCGGGCGGGACGTGCCTGTTTTCCATCTCTCTGTCAGCCCGTGTCTGTCCCTGTGCTTGTGCGGGCAGGCAAAGCTTGCACTTCTCTAGTCCCTGTCCTGCTGCTTTGCTGCCTGGGTGCTGGGAAGCAGCTTGTGCCGCCACCGCGTCTGCCCGCGTCTCCCAGCGCTCCCCACGCCGTGCCCGGCAGAGGGAGCTGGGCCTTCGCTTTCGCTTGCAACAGTGAGTTGGAGGCCTGGCAGGGAATTTCCCCGTGAGTGATGGCTTGGCTTTCCCTCCGCAGGCACGGTCTGTACGGCCCAGCCCCGGAGCCGGATTCCTTACGGTTCACATGTTTGCGTGGCCGTCCCGTCAAGCCGTGCGCCGGGGTTAGCGCAACCAAGGCATTCCTATTCTCCCAGTACTAAGTCACATTGACACCCCTGTTGCCTTGACTTGTACCGTAGGCCTTGTACCAGGAACATGGCAAACCTGTTCTGAGATCCTCTGGTCTTAGGTACTTCGGGGCAGCTGACTGTCATTTTCTTTGGGGTGGGCACCATCTTCCTGAGAGCAAACCGGTAGTTCTTGGTACCTAGAAGGTTTTGGAGAACAGACAGCTGGCACTGGGGAGTGCCCTGGGAAGCTGCGGGCAGGGGCAGAAGCAGAAGCTGACTGGCTGTGCGTTGTGGGGCACAGCGTGGCCCCGCAGAACACCCATTCTCTCAGCAGGATGTCCTCCTGCCCCGCACATTCGTGCGGTGAGTGAGGAAAGGGCCGTGCCAAGCTGGCTGTCACGCCTGTGGTGGCAGAGGTGGCGTTCATGGAAGAGGTTGATAAAGCCAGACTTGCAGCAGGCGGCATCTTCTCTGTAGGTTTTCGGGGGGACTTCAGGGAGCGGAGGTGATACTGCAGGCAGCACTGTCCCCAAAGCTGAGTGCATGTGTGCATACACTATTTACGTGTCTGCTCTTCTCCCTCTTTTCCTGCTGCTTGCCCAGGGAACCTGCAGCTCTCGCCCGTGGGACCTGCCAGGCCTGCGTCTATCGAACGCGTTCAAGGTATCCCAGCACCCGCCAGCTCCCTTCTCCCGTGGAGCTCGTTGTGGAGTGTGCAGAGAGCAGTTTTCACCCCACTGTGCTCAGGCCGGGGACTGGCGTATCACTCTGTGTAGCCTGGCAGGGTTAGGAGGAGGCAGGATTTCCTCCAGCGCCGGAGGAGGGAACAGGCTAGTGCCACGCACAGAGCCCCTCGTGTTAAAGGAGAGCCTGCTCGGAGAGGGCCTTTGCTTAGGATCCTGTCCCCTTTGACACCTTGCCGCCAGGAGCCTTCCAGGTCTTGCTTTGCTCCTGGCCCCACGTCAGCAGGGTGTTTATGCCCACGCTTGTAGGGATCGCCACGGGGGCACCCACACTTGGTTTGGCCGCCTGGTGCCGTAAGGAGCCTGAGGCAGAGC